GGGTAAAAATTGCATCTATTGTAGTTCTTAAAAAATGTTTTATGCACAATCAAAATTATTTGAAATTAAATTATTTAACATATTTTAAATAAAATTACTTTAATTCTCGAAAATACAGTGCTAATTTATTACATAATATACATTTATTACTTTATTAACTATTATTATTTATTAATAAAAGTATATACAAAGTGATAGGTTAATCATAAACCACTTGATTAAATAAATACAATATTGGAAAAATGAAATTTGATTTTTTTTAATTACATATAATTCTTGATTTTTCAGCTAACAATTACTTTTTAGATCCATCCCTTATAATTTAAAGGAGTGTCAACTAAATTTTAACTTCGATGCGAAGCTGAGAAGGTATTAATTTTACCATGATGTGTTTATTTATTATTATTTTTTTTGTGTGTGTGTCTGTCACTACTTTTTCTCAGCTCTCACTGGACCGATTTTTCTCAACGATACGTCAAAAGATCACAAATCGTATCTAGTTGAAGACATTACCATCAAAAATAGAAAATTTTTCCTTCATTCCCGGTAAATAGTGAAAATCCCCCAAAAAATTACAATTTTTTAAATCGGTAAATTTCATCATTTTTTCATTTTTTTTTTTTCTAAAAATTGCCATAACTTTTTAAAAAATGAACAAATCAAAATAATTCTTTTTTAAATTAAAACCTTAGATATTTGCCTTTCATTTGATATAAATTTTTTGAAAATCTGACCCTTTACCTGTCCACAGGGTGAGTTTAAATCGCAACTTCTACACAAAAATTAAACTTTTTCAACTAAAGTTTTAAAAATGTTCCGGGAATACTACGAGCTTCAAACATATATTAGAATAAAGATAATTAAAAAAAAAAAAAAATGTTTGTCCCGACGACTTATCTTATGTGTAAAACTTACGATCTCAGATTTGATTAGTTAAAATTTTTCAACTCAATTTTTGACAATTTTCCGGTAATATTGACACTTTATTATTATTTAATCTTAAATTAAAGCTTATGTAATATATTAAACTATGAACAAAATTTCGAGATATAGTGAACATGGTTATCATATTCCAAAAATGCTATTTTTGTGTTAAACTTTTGGGTTTTGTATTTTAATTTATTTTAATGTAATGGTTTACATTGATTTTCATGAATATTATATAATACTAATTGACATAGAACATGAAGTTAAACTTATTTCAATTTTTTTTTCTTTTAAGCCGAAAAAATTAATTTTTATATTTGAATCGGCATAAATTGCCAATTTTATTAAAAAATGAGTGCGACGAACGTTTTTCGATTCAGTAAAAATCATTCCCATAGGCAATGATTTTTTTGCAATTTTTCCTTAATTATTTTTTTTTGAGTTAAATTTTGCTTTTGAAATTCCACAAATTTCTTAAAATTAAACGCTATCTACAGATTTGCATTGAAGCGTTTTTTATAATAGTGATTTTAATCACTGTCAGATATCATCTATACTAGTTCCAACTATGCCACACCTCACACTGTGCCACGGACACCACTGTGCTATCGTTTTTTATTATTTTTTTTTTTTGTGTCTTTCATTACTTTTTTTTTAATGTAACATACATATTTAACTAGCTTATAAAACAGAAAATAACCTAATTAAGAAAATTATTACAGAAATAATTAAAAATTTAAAGAAATGACTGGAAACGAGGAGTAGGTGCTGCTATTTTTATCACTAGTACTTTTCCCAACACACTCTTCGTCTCTCCTAAGTATAGAAATGAGAATAATACCCAATGCAATGGTCCAAAAATGTCGTTATTTTCTTAATTAGATAATATTTTATTTGATTTATACAAGTTACTATTCAAAAAAATAATGTTGATATCCCTAGCAACTATAAGGAATAATAGTAAAAAGTAATTTTAGCTAATAAATCAAGAATTATATGTAAAAGAAATCAATTTTCATTTTTCCAATATTGTATTTATTTTGCGAGTAATCGAGTGGTTTATGATAAACCGATCATTCTGTATAGTTACTATTTATTTTTATTTACATTAATATACATAATTAATTAAATTTATAGCTATTAAATTTATTTATATTATATATATATTTAGTTATTTATTTGTAAAAATAAATGAAAGGGATCGGCCTGGCCTGGTGGATAGGAACGTACGTTTCAGCGCACAAGGTACCGAATTCGATCCGCAGTTTGCCATTGCGAATTTTCTTGTGATCGTCTCATTGGTATCTTGTCTCTGGTGCAAGCCGGTCATAATATCCGTACCGTCCATCATTGGGCCTAGCCAAGAACCATTTTGAAATATAAGTTTGAATTTAAAATACAAAGTATTTGTATATATTATTATAAATTTCAAATGTAAACGTTTATTGAACACCACTCATGTTTATCAAATGTACACGTTTATTGAACTTTCACGTTCATCGAACAATACAATTTTGACCGTATACCTAATAAAACAATGGAATCCGTCTGTGTTAGCCAAACGTTACAGCCAAACGTCACGGTCGAATGTGACGGCCGACCGTGACACTCAAAAAATTTTTTTCGGACCTCCTGTAAAGAAGTTTTGCTTTAAAAAAAATTATTGTTTTAAAAAATCTAAGATATGTTATACAATTTTTTCAATATTTAGATTTCAATAAAACTACTTATTATTGATTTTAGATTTTGTGATTATCGGATAGTATTTTGTTTATTGCTACTCTATTACCAATTGTGACTTAGAAAATTTTATTGAAGTAAAATTGCTATAAAGTTTTTTTCCAAAAATTAAATTTGTTTTATATTTTTCGTACTTCATTTATATATTTCTAAATTAACATAGTAAAAGTTATTTTGTTTAAAAAAGTTTGATTTTGAATGTCCCATAAATTTAACTAGATAGTTTTTAAAGTTAATGAGTTGGTAATTTTTTTATTAGTCGTAATAAATATAAAACACACTATATAATTAATTCAATTGACAATTGAAATATATTAATATTATCAATAATGATTAACTATATAAAAATAATAATATGTATTATCAAGGGTAAAGTGTTTAAACTACCAAATTTTTGTCACTAAAAAGACCAAAAATAAAAAAAGTTTTAACCGCTTTTATGGCTTTTTAACAATAAAGTGGACCTATTTTTAGTTTATTGCCACCTATGTAAAGAATAATTCAACAGCCCTGAGTGTTATATAACTATGTTAGAAATACTTCAAAGTTGGTTGTAACCTCTCTACCTATAGGAAATAACTACAATTAAAACTAGTCTCATATTCTAGAAGAATTTTATTTTTAATCTATTTTCTTAATCGTTTAACAAATAATATCACGGCAGGTGTATAATTTGTTAACCCTGTTAAAATTATGAAAGTCTACAAGCTGATTTTACTTGGAAATCGTTTTTTCATTGAGTATTCTTACCTTTCGTACAATATTTCAGAAAATCAAAAATAGATATTAAAAAAATATTAATATTTTTTGGCTCAATTTATGGAATTGGTTAATTTTGGTTAAAATTTAACTATATTTAAGTAGAATTAATAAATATAAAAGATAAAGCTTTTGTATGAAAAAGTATCTGTTCTCTTCAATTAATAAATCTATGAAAGATTAGCTACACAAAAATGTATTTTATTATATATAGCTTTATTGTGTTTAGTTGTAAAATGTAGGTGTTATGATTAATTTTCGGCGATGTGTAAGTTGTTTTTTAATCAAAGCATCGTTAGTACTTCCTTGTTTGCGCGTGAAAACCCATCAGATACAGATAATTGATCATTCTATTATGACTCAACCTTTAATGTTAACGTTAGTTAAAAAATACCGAGGAAACCCCATTTTTATTTTTTTATTATATAAACTTTTTTTTAGATTTTTGTTAAACGTTGTCTATTTACAATTTAGACATAATCACATTACGAGTCTGAACAAGTCTTACAAAAAATATTTATTACCATAATATTATCGTGTGTAATATAACTTACTTAATACAATAAAAAAGGATTAAATTTTAAATTATTCATATAGATAACAATTTTAACAATTTAACATTGAGGATGAGATTTTAAACATTATTGAAGTTAATTGAATAACGAATAAATTTTAAATTTCAAAAGAAATCAAATTTATGAGTACTATTTTTATCATTAGAAATGTTATTTCAACAAGTTAATAACTGCTATTGAAAATAAATGAATATAAAAATAATTTTCGTGCTACCTGAAATTAGTAAGGAAATTTAATATAAACTTTAACAGTAGCACAGTGGGGTCGGGGTACAATTGGGACGTGGCATAGTTGAGACAAGTATAGAAGTTATCTGACAGTGATTACAATCACTATCATAAGAAACGTTTTGATATAAATCTGTAGATAGTGTTTAATCTTCAGAAGAAATTATTGAATTATACCATAAGCAAAATCAACTCCTATTTCTTTGATTATATCTTCATTAGTAGTTCTTTGATCTATAAGTATAATACAAGGTGTTACTTTTAACACTAACCACTTAATTACACTTTTATGCAAATTTCTTTTTTTTTGCTTTTTTTAGTCACATATGTATCTCCATTTATCTGTTATAAAATATTTTTTATGTTTATCACTTATAGGGGTGTAACTAGTTTATAAAATAGAAAATAATCTAATTAGGAAAATGACTAGTCCATAACAACTTATGGACCAGTATTTGAAAAGATATTAACAATTTAAAGTAATGATTGAAGGTCGACCCCAAGTAGTTGTGATTAACGCGAGGAAGAAGAAAAAGAAGAAGAAAGTAATGCTTGGTGGCGAGGAGTGGATGCTGCTATTTTTATCACTAAAAATCCTCCTCCCATCTAGATATAAAAATATTAATTACTACTGAAATACTATTCCAAAAGTTATTATCGACCAGTCGTTTTCTTAATTATATCATTTTCTATTTGATAAACTAGTAAAGTATATATGTATATATTATTTGCATTGACGCCTAATAAAATTCCAAATTTAATTATTTACAGTTTATTTGAAACCCACCCAGATGTTCAACAATCATTTATGCCATTCAAAGGAGTTGAAATTGAGGATTTAAAACATAGCCGACAACTCAGAGATCATGCTTTGAGGTAAGTGTTTATCATTGGTCAATGTTTCTTTTGTGTTCATTAAAACAGAAAATAAATATAAAAACATAACAAAGCTTTTTAAACTTGTTAAAAATACGGGAAAATCATTAAAATATACAGGGTGGCCCACCACTCACTGACAACTTAAATAACTTTTGATCCAGTTAATATTTTTAGTTGATTTTTTTTTTAAATAATATTTATACGTTAGGTCTATAGCTATATCTCAATAATTAATTTTTTTACATTTTATTAAAAATATTAATTATTTTAAAATTTTAAATAAAATGTAAAAAAAAAATCTAAGATAGCTATTTTGTAGAGTAGAATTTAAGAAAAATTTTAGTAAAAAAATATCTTATTAATATTCAGTAGTAAATATTCTGTAGCGTTTTGAAGTTTGTAAAAATTTGAATTTTCATGTACTATTTTACGGTTATAAACATTGAAATACGTATTGAGAAAAGGACAGAAGAAAACGCTATCTTTTCATGATTACTGTGTATACATATGATGATAGTGTGTATACATTACAAACTTGGCATAAATACCATGATAAGAAATTAGATAAGGCAATTATTACTTATCACTCTCATTCAAAAGTATATTGAAAAGATATCGTTTTCTTCTGTCCTTTTCTCAATACGTATTTCAATGTTTAATACCGTAAAATAGTACATGAAAATTCAAATTTTCACAAACTTCAAAACGCTACAGAATATTTACTACTGAATATTAATAAGATATTTTTTTACTAAAATTTTTCTTAAATTCTACTCTACAAAATAGCTATCTTAGATTTTTTTTTTACATTTTATTTAAAATTTTAAAATAATTAATATTTTTAATAAAATGTAAAAAAAATAATTATTGAGATATAGCTATAGACCTAACGTATAAATATTATTTAAAAAAAAAATCAACTAAAAATATTAACTGGATCAAAAGTTATTTAAGTTGTCAGTGAGTGGTGGGCCACCCTGTATATACATGTATATATTTGGCAAATACGAAAAATACTTTACCCATTTTTTTTTAGAACATTAAAATTTTTAGTTCCGTATTTATTATGGACCTTTAAACATAACAACCAATACTTCTATCTATTCTATCTATCTATATATATATAATTTAGCTCTATTTAGTTTATTTTTAAGTCTAGACTCGTGCTACTATTCATTAGATGTTCTGTACAAATAACACTAATTAAAAAATGATACTTTTTCAATCATCAAAGATGAAAATACACTTTTAAATAAAATGTTGTATTGATTTCAATTTATCTAGTTTTAGATATAATTATTAATAAGTATACAACGAATAATTGCACATAATAAAAATAATAATTAAAGATGACCATTTTTAACAAATTAATTTTGATTTTTAATGTTAATAACAATCTATGCGAATTTTCCATTCAAATTATCCGGTTTAACTTATTATTAATTCCTATAAAATTGATTTTTACAGAAATGTACAAAAAAAAATATAAATTTTTAACAATAATTTTAATTTGGCTCAACTTATACGAGAGTTTAAAAAGATTGTAATTTTTTAGCATGGAGACAACTAAAGCAAAAATACTAGTGCTGAAATTATACTATGTTCTAAAAATAATTTTAGTGAACTGAATGTGATGTAACAGCTCCTCTAATTGAGTCCATGAGAGTAAAAATCTTTAGAATTACTATTTTATGAGAAAAGCTCAAAATTTTGTAAAATCAATATTTCATAGCATTTTTGTCGTAATAAATTATTTTAATAGGATTGTTAGCCTTATTGATAAATTATTTGTAACATTTAATATAAGTATAATTGAAATATTCAAAACTAAATAATAATTTTTTTATTATTAAAAAAAAATAGTATAAAATAAAGGATTTTGTTTTTATTTAGTCTTCTGAAATTTTATTTCTAAATCGCACCACCATTTTATTAAACTCCAAGAGTTACATATAATAAATTACTAAGATTTCTATTAAATTTATTTATTATAATAAAAATGCAAGCAAATATTTAACGAAATTCTAAGCATTTCTCATAGTGTAATTGTGAATAGTGATTATATTATCTTTCGACTCCATTATCAATCTAAACACTACTATTTTTTTAATTCTCATAATATTTCCCATTTAATGATGTTAATTACAAATTTAAAAACTTATAAAATGTTTTTATCTCTCATATCACACATTTTTTATTGCTTTGCTACTACTTGTTACAACTATTTAGAATTGATCAAATTTGAAACGTGTGAAACTATGTAGAACATTTCTAGTACTTCATTGTTTAGTCGGTCTCAGGAGATTTTCCATAGGTATAAACCCTTCTTGCTAATTTTCTTAATTGCATATTATTTAGTTTCAATTTTGTAACGTTACAAATAACAAATTATCCCGTCCTATCTTTGGCTCATTACTAAAAGCGAATACCTCAATAGTATCCCTGAAATAATGCAGTAATCAGTAATTGGCTCTTGCACTAGTATGCTAAATTGATTATACCGAAATACAAAATTAATTAATTACTATTTATTAGTATTGATTATATAAAGGAAGTTAATGTTGAATGTTTTGATAGTATAACAAATTACACTCTACTTTAAAATACCTACTTCCTTAATAAAAGCTATTTACAAATAACTCAAGTCCATGAAGAAGGAATCAAAACTTAGAGTCACGAACATCATGAAAATCGTTGATCGAAATTCAGCAGCATTAAATAAAAACGGTTTTTTAATCGTTCTATTTTAAGTCACGATATGTATACTTTAATTATTTCACAGCTATAATAAATACAAATATTATTTGTTAAATTAAAAAAGTAAATTTGACGATTAAATTCTTTTAATTAATTTAATAATGAGGTATTTGTAATATTAATCTTGAATGAAAAACAAAAATGTAATATATAATAAGAATTAATAATTTCTGGCTAATATTATATAGAATTAAAAATATATTTTAAATATTAGTTTAAAACTAAAATATATTAAAAATATTTAACTCAAATAATCACAAATATATTAAATTATTGAGTATATGTATTTCAGGAACAATTTGACCATCATAACAACTTAATACATACTGTCACCCCACCCGAAAAAATTCTCTATTATATACCCCTAATGACGTTATCACTTATGAATTTTATCACCTGATAATGTTATTACCTAGTTGATTTACAAATTTGTTCAGTTAACACAAGTTTAATAATAAATTTTGAAGTATACCTTGATCTCAATTAATTAAATAACTCTTATTTTAAAACATTTTAAAAATGTCTTATTTCAATTAGTTTTATAGTTTTAATAAATGTGTCAATAAATGTTTAAACATGGGATATTTATCAACTTGTTGATTTTTAATGTTCTTTAAACCTGATCCTTATGATTCTTTTTGTTTGTCCTACGTAACATTTATCACACCTTTTACATTGTATTTTATAAATACCCGATTTTCCCACTTCTCCTACTTTTCTTTAGGGTTACCTAAAAAATCTTTTAAACTATTACTCTTAGATATTTCTAAAATAACATTTACTAATTAGAATTTTTATAAATTTCGGTATTACTTTAGTAATATCTGAGATTATATTTTAAATATCTTTTTAATTTTAACTAAAGTGCGATAATAATTTATAAACTATTAAATAAAAGTATGATTTTTTAATTAATTTTACCTTTAATATATTTAAATAATATAGTTTTTAGTGCTTACTTAAATAACCTTCAGTGATTATTCAAAATGCCAATCGCCATTTTTATTAACTAAGATTTTCAGATGTTAAAAACTCAATAAAATGAATATATAAGCAATTCTGTTTTGCACAATAATGGTGTTACCTAGAAACAATATTAAGATGGCAATCAACCATTTACAATACTCTAATTATTTATAATTTAAAATTACATCAGCCAACAATTTTGATATTATTGGTGTTAATAGTTCATAACATAATACTCCACATCAACAAAATATATTTATACATACAGGTCTACACATACATACACATTTTACAAATCAGTTTTTTATTCGTAATAGTTAACTTATATTGTATTATGATATCTTTTAAAAATGAAACTAAGGCACTTAGTATTAAATAACATTTTCTTAATTTAGAGAAAATTGAGTTCAAAAGGCTTGTTTTTTTATAACGCGAAGTAAAAACCAGTAATACGTCTTATTGACTTGTTTATTATTTACAAATAATAGAGTAAGTGACTCATTACAAAGATGTTTAGTAAGTAAGGAAAAAGGTTTCTATTGTTTACATTGTTCGTAGCAATTGACTTGTTTTTTCTATTTTTCGAACCCTCGATCAATAATTATATTGGTCTAAAGAACCATTAAAATTAATTCAAAGATATTTTGCCAATTATGCATGTATATTACCCAATTACCTTTCTGTCTACTGGACAAAAGCAACGAAACTGACGACCAATCATCAAACATTTCTGGCAAAAGTGATTCATTTTAGGAAACAATTCAACTTATTGTTCACTTATGCTGTAATAAGAGCAAATAACAGTAAATATTACAATTAAATTTATTTAAAAAATTATATTAATTACATGTATAACTGACTTATTTCAAGAGAATCATTTCACTGTCAATTTTTATGAATTAATAAGTTGTATGATTATAATTTTAAAAATAATTTCGAAATATAATCTTTATACCAAAAAAAACACTCAATGCTTTACATAACTGTTAAAAATAAAAAATAACAACCAATTTTAATAAAATCAATTGAAAGTGTTATATTCCCAAAATTACATGTATGTAAGAATTATCATAGAATAAAATAGCATTAATTGTTATACTTTACATATAACCCTTATAAAACATTATGTTAGGATAAAATAAATACATAAAAAAAGGACACCGTTTAGTGAACGTTTGAAAGGTTGCGAAGAATTAAGAAAAAAAATTATTCGTTTTATCAAAATACTGTACTCACTTTATTGAAGAATAAGTCTTATCTATGGATATCATAAT